AAACTAAATAGCTCTGTAGGTTTTCGACATTGGATGCTGACCATATGTTTTAGTGGACTCATCTAGCTAAAGGCGCTCGGTCATGCATCCGCACCAGATCACGTGTTGTAACGCTGTGCTCAACATCAACCGCAATCACTAGCCAGATTAGATCAGAGATTCCCGATATATTGGTTATCGCCAAATACACTCTTCCGATCTCCTCGACTCTGTCTTTTGATTTCTCTCGGTGGGAACAAAGTATATTAGAAGGTGTTAATGGTAGAAGCGTTGTCAAACACTGAATACCTGTATCACCTTCACTTGTGAACTAACCCAGTTTGTATACGGTGCATCAAATTCGCCTACTATAAAGCTTTTACGCCTATTACAACAGGACTTAAGTTTGCTTAGGAGGGAATAATTTACTACACATTCTGGACTGCAATATACTACAACTAATTCATGATCTTGCCGTCTACATTTCAGTATTCATCGCACCGGTTCATATGTCCCTGAATGCTTGTATGGTTAGTGTATTTTTCGAGTACAGGATAACCCCACCTCCCCAATCGTATGTATTTGCAAAATATTGGACATATCTCCATTCAGTTGCTGAGAAACTTTTGCATTTAAAAGCGTCATTTTCATTTGGGATTTCATTTCAACTTCCAATGTCTTTGCTTTCACCATCCAGCATGTCAGGATGTACTACAGTATCGTGTTCATAAAAGACATGTAGATAGTGTCAGATGCATTTGTTATCAGTAATTTCATTAAATTATACGTCATTTTAAACATCGATAAGTCACACCTCTAAATAAATTATTCGTCTGGACCACCTAATTCTGGTAGCCAGCCAGTACTTTTTTTTTAGTAATTGTACGGATTAGATAATATCTAACCAAAGTAGTATTGTTGGTGAGATGGAACAAAATTGAGAAGTACATAATATGGAAACACCTGTATATATCGACTTATGGTGAATGATAGATCAGTCAGGACTGATTGTCCTTAATCGTGAAGACATTCGGAAACTGCTCAGTGTTCAGTAATCCACCGTCTAACATAGAAACAATGCACATTGATGAACTTCTTAGTCAAGAATCATTGATATTTCACTGACGTCACTATCTTTTAGGAACTGAAGATAAATACAGTGAGTATACTAGCAATACAAGCAGCTCATCCTATAGGCCTTATCATAATGTAGGTGCTATCAAATTTTATTAGCCGTTGACACTCAAATAACGATCTTTGGCATTTGATTCTGTTCGCACAAAAGCCAGTGTCTAATAATTCACAAAAGTTGATGTAGGTTATCAGATAAAACGCAGACAAAAATAGTTTTCAAGAAAATTAAACTTTCCTACATCGTAATTGTAGAATTCGAATTGCCCAACATCGTTAATCATAACATCCTGTGGTGCATTCTGTCCACTTTGTTTGTATTGCTGAATGAATACATTCTGGTTCCTGTTATAACTTGCTTCCCTGCGAAATAGTTTCAGTATCTGGATTTGCAACTCATCGTCTACCTTATCGATCGTTTCAAGTATGTATTTAACAAATGTCTTCCCAAATCATTGTTCATATACCGTCACTTTTAAACGTACTTTTCTTCATGGTGAGAGAAAAACTAATGTGAGGGACAGAGCTTTTTTTGTCTAGCTCCAACTCTTTAGCATATAACGTACATGATCACCACCAGTGGTGAGGGCCTGGTCATTTACTGTTTCGTCTAGTATCTGTATAACCAGTGATTTTCTGTTTAGCTATTGACACAGTGAAATTCTTATGACCGATCATGTGATTACCATGAGATAATGGCGGCAAATATATTATGATTATATGGGGTTTAGTCTCACTCTAGCATGATGGCTAGCGTGAATATGAACTGTGGAAGCAGATAAAATTTCATTGCACGAGAGGTCTTTCATTTTAAATACATAAGACATTATCAATCATATTTCCTATTGTACAACAACGTAACGAGGACAATCTAATATCCAATTGACTTAGTTATATATAAATACGACTGAGTGGTAAAACCAAAATTGGTAAATTTTAACGCAGGAAGGTAAAGGATATAAAAGGAGTTTATTAAACAATTCGAAGTTTGCAACACAAGGGATAGAAAAATGCGATAGTCTGAGTGTTTAATTATTGTTTGGTAAAAAAATGAACTGTAATTTCTTATGCAACAGTGCCTCATTTTGTCAAATCGTCATGTGTGTGCTATCGATTTCTGAGAACCTAAGATACGTATGATGATATGGTATTTATCATCATTATTAATTCTTTTGTACATTATTCCGAGACTTATTTAAATTATAAACTACAGTAATGTAGTGCGTACCCTTTGATTTATCCCTGGTTCGAATCATTCTTTATTCGTAACAGCTAGAGTGGGAATTTGACAATCCAGATAATTACGAATCATATCATCAATTCTAGTTACTTCTTGTTATTACCATGGAGTAAGTATTAAGAGAGGCAGTGGCGTACAGTGTAACGTTCCTAATGCATTGAATTTTTATATATTAAACTATAAAGACTCCAGTTTTCCGAAATTCAACATCGATGAGTGCACGTAAATGCAAAGAGGAAACTCTAATTAAGCTCACTGTCTAAAAAAATGAAAAAAACCACGATCATTTAAACTGTTAATTCATAAAATTGTTGGGGATATCATCGGGTACCATTCCAAGTAAATCCTAATTTCGTTATCTAAGACGTTTTAGACGATAGTTAGTCATTGCTCCTTTAAATCTTAATGCTTTTGTTGTCGATTAATTTTAGTGTAATGATAAAATTTAGATGAAGCAACATCGATTTTCTGTCATATCAGACGGTCTGTTGTCCTCTAGAAAGGTGAATTTACTCATAAATCACATTCTCATTAAAACGTCTGGATAGCAATATTAGTGTATTTTTTCTTAGTTTTGGGAAGCATCCACGAACACATTTTAAACAAGTCTTCTAGCTAACGAAATTCTCATATATATTTAGCATTCCCTGTATGTTGAAAATCAACGATATTAAACTTGACGGCTCAATAAACAAGAGGAATAATTCAGATCCCCAGTAGACTGCAACCATAAATAAATCCTCAAAATAAATGGTTCTGTATGTCTTCTACGCGGTTGTCGACCTCATTAGTTTTACAGGGCACACATGAGAGGGCTCGGTTACTCGCTTACACTATATCACGAGTGGGTACTCCCTGCTGTGCATGTCGCAACTAATAGCCAGCTCAGACCAGATGCTGCTCGACAATTCGACGACCTACCGAATACACCTTCAAACACATTCATTTCTGATTTCTGACCTTGATGGATTGATATACTTCGATCATAAATGTGTTACGTGTAAAGCCAATGTCACACTCTGAATACTAGTGGCATGTTTAAGTTTAAAGTTTCCATCTACATGTTTCAGTAAGTTATCTGCCTCCTTGTTTGCTTTAAAAGATCATTGTGTTAACTAGTTGCATGACATATGCAGGTGCGTTTGTGAAGTGTCTAACCACTTATGTTTTTGGCAGATTACACAGGAGAATGTCTAATTCTTGACGTCTTTGCCAATACCAAGCCAGCGAAATCACTCTTCTATGTACGAATTTTCCCGAAACGTTTTTCTTATCGGTCGGTTTGGGACTCGGGAGACGGCATGGCTTTCTGACACACTGATAACAATTTCTGTACTGATTATGATACCGGCACCAATCAGGGTTCTCTATCTCTCGTAATCTAGAGACAGACCGTTTTCATGAACAACCCCTTCGATGAGTTTGGGATCGTCTACGATCATGACGAATGCTAAGGTAACGCGTCAAATTATGACAGAGTCCCGTAACGTCATTTCGTGTCGCTTGAGGATTTTCTTTAACTGAAACAAACTTGGCGTTAGACATTCTAGTGATCTCCAGAATTCGGTCGATAGATGCAGCCAGTTTGTTTACAGAGTTGTTTCGAAACTAGACAAGCACTGCCTACACCTGTTGCGGAAGCTTAAAAAAATGTTGTCTAAACAGGCCTTCGAGAAAGGCTTGTTGATCAATGAACTCTTTCGTTCGTAACAACATGTTTTTTGCCGAGCCATTTTGTAGATAGATGATATTTAGGATTTAATCCAATTTTGTCGATCGGTTAGATCTCCACGTCCGAGATTACCCTTTTTAAAGTTCTGTAAGGTTCCAAAACATCACTAGTGAACAAAATAGGTATGACGTACCTGTTAAATCCGTGCTGTAGTGTCTTCACTATTACGAAGAATTGTGCAGGTTGATCTGAAGAGCCGTGCTCATGGAAGTCAGTTTCTGTGTAGCAGAACGAGGCATTGATGTTGCCAGGCCAGAATGACATTGACTGAAATGAGGGAGGCGTAAGAGTTTTGATCTTAAATAATTTAGGAGTATGTCCGGTCATTATGAATACACGACATGGCAGTAAAAAAGGAAATAAAACACCCACAAATATGGAGAACTATCACAGCATGTAAAAATAAAATTAAAAAACTGTTATAAAGTTCCAAAAAGGAACAGACCCACAGTTTACGAGTTGTTATATCAGATCACGTCGAGCTCACTACTAAAGATGCCATAAGTATTTGGAGTTTGACAATATCTTAACGAGAAACATTTTTTGTAACCCAAATATGCAAACCCAGTCAAATCGAAGGTCAAAAGGAAAGAAATCCGAAGATATACTCGATAGAATATCGATATATCGAGAAGTGACTAATCGAAACTGACTAGCGGTTGTAGGAGATATGAAGCACGGCGTACCCACCTGTTACCTGATGCGGCTGTGTAAGCGAACGCATTCAGCGAGGCGAGTCCATTAAAAGCAATGTGGTCGGCTTCAAATGTTGAAGACTTACAGAGCTATTGATCTCGGGGATTTATTTATCGCTACAAGTCCGTTTGTGTCCAAGTTGCACATGATCACTGTGTAGGGAAGCAAAGCTTGGTCTAGCTGTCGACCATAGCGAATTTATTGCAGAGATGACTTCGGACTAACGCGCTACTCTAAATTTACTGCGTAACATTTACTTTGTAAGTTAAAACTGTATTTACAACACCGGTTACATAAAAGTTTATTATCAGATTCATATGAATGATTTGATCACTCTCATGACAACAATGATAACCTAATTAGGGCTCTTGTGACTTTTGTAAATGCGGTTTTGACGAAGGCCTATTTTTACATTATGCATGTTACAATTTTACCAGTTGTATGACCTTGATGTTGACAAAGAGTTGTCCAATCACAGCCTGGGAGATCTTCTAACGTGTTTGCGTCAGACTTGTCCTCGGTGTTTGAGATCTTATCATATTTCCACTACAAAAGGTGCCACGTTTCTTATGTGGTGTTATATCATGTTTTGTCACTTGTCCTTGATTTAAAATGTGTGTGCTCGTATTCGAGCATCAAAAGCTTCTTTGCTAACTTTTAACTTGGTTTGCTTCTTTTAAAGTTGATGTTTTTAATCAGTTTTGTGGTTAGTTGTACAACATTTTTGTCACTTTTCCAAGCAATCTTCTAATTATGTAGTTTTTGCTAGATGTGGGTTTCTATAAACACCTAGGTGTTCACAGCCGTGTAATTGTCAACCTTATACCGGTATAGGGATTAAAATCCCTCCTCACCGGTGAGATGTTATATGTTTGTCATGTGGCTTCATATCCTGTTTACCTACTCTCTAAGTGATTCATATAAATGTAATTCCCACCCTTTAGCGTAAAAGAAATGACTCAACTACTCACAGTTACATGAGCTGCGTGAAAAATCCGAAGCATGTCCTAGTTCAGGCTCTAAAATTTCTGACAAGCAACCATACGACTAAAAAACCTTTGGCAATTGTAATTTCGTAGATAGCTGTGATTCTGAGTTTATGTATTGCCCTAAACACTTGATCTTTGCACTTGAGAATCTTGGTCATACATTTTCCTTTAGCCATGCTATGTTGAAAGCCTTCATAACCGATAAGAATTACAACCCTACTAGTGTTCACTTCCAATCGCAACCATTCGTACACTTAACTAGTGCATACAAAAAACTCGTAACCCTACTCCGTCACCATTGCATATGTTTATCCACACATTAAGATCATTAACAAACATCAAATTAGATTATTTTGTAAATTAGAGTAAACGGAGACCTTGAATCATATCTTGAGGTACTTGACTCATACCTGGATCCCATGAAGATAGATTGCCATATATCCCTACCTTTTGGTTTGCACGACTAATGAACTGTTTCATATACTATTTGGTCTTTTGTTTGGTTCCAAAACTGCAAATGCACCTGCATATTCTCTAGTTGATATCTTTAATCAGTATGTAAACAGGTGTACTTATATCTTCATCTGCAACCCACTTAATTGGGATACGATTTATAAAACAAGAGCGGCTCATTGTAGAAGTTCGTTGTCTTCCGGCTAAAGGATCATCTTTCACAGCCTCGGTCTGGGCACCCGGGCAGTATCACAGCCCTCACACAAAGTGTGGCGCACATATATTTGGTGTCCTCTTGTACCAATATTTATGTGTTCAAATAAATTTCACAGCACAAATAATCTTTTCCAGTGCTTCAACATATTTACTAGTAAGATGAGCTAGTCGGTGACTACTTGCCGAATTCATATATCCAATTCGAAGGATAGATTGATGATTTTGGCCCCCTAGCTGTTTGGAAATTTTGATTGACTTAGTAATATTTTAAATATCATCATCATTGCTACAGTAAAACGTGTTAGAGTTTGTATCATTCATCTAAACCACGACCTGATAGGTTCAATATATTAAATGATTTGTCACTGTTATTTGAACGTGAATATCTGAGATACTAGGTGGGTTCACGTAAAGTTACCTATGGTGTCAACAGAATCAAGTATTTTTAAAAAATCATGTTGGTTTAATTCCACCATAATTTTGTCGTCTTATAGTTGCTTATGTGTGGTATTTAGAGGCTACTGTAATTGTATATAAACTTTTGATTAACATCTCATTTGGGTAGCCTCAAGTATCCAGTCATTTACTTTTTTCCGTTAAGGATTTTCGGATCGTTGATCGTCGTAATAACTATTATATTTGATAGTATTTGCCTGTCCAGTCATTTTATCTCGTTTTTTATTTACCTTATGTATATCATAGGCTCATCGACTTTTGGAAAGCAGTGAAATATTGATCTATATTGGTACTGATTAAATCCTTACATGGATGTAATTTTCGAAAGTTCACGTATTGCAAAAAATGTTTCGTTCACAACTTATTGCCGTCTATTAGAAAAGCTAGCATCAAGTGATGGGGTCAAGACGAAAGAAAAAATTTTGTCCAAATTTATAATTTTATGGGAAACCCAGTATCTTGCATTAGACTCAATAAGTCAGTACCCGTGTGGTGGTCGAGCTAGTCTTTATTTACTCTTACGTTTGTTGATTCCTTCTCATGATAGATCAAGGAAAGCTTTCGGATTACGTGAACAAACACTATCAAGACTAATAATTAAAGCTATTGGGCTTGCCCCAAACAGTCTGGCTGCTCGTAAACTTTCACATATTCATCCTAATACTATCCATCGACAGACTGATTTTGCCGACGTAGCATATACAGTGCTCAAAGCTCGATGTCGCGAGGACAGTGTTTTGTCTGTCAAGGTATGTAAATATAATTTCAACTTATTCCTTTATTCAGTCTGTTCATTGGTTGCCGAAACGTATTACATCCTCAGCATCTCAGTTTATATCTTGACACTTCTCCAACAGAGGTGATTGAATTATCTGAAACATAATAGCCACCAATGTCTGTATTAAGAATATTCAGACTAATTTGGAAATTCAGGTTGTAAAATGATAAACGTAACTCGATGAGCTAGGAGTCAGTCAAAAAAGTGTTCTTCATCGTTCGGCATTGTTTAGCGTTCATTCACGTGTATCATAGATGTCTGGAATTCAACTAACTCTCTTGAAATCAAACCTAACACGTCTAATCAGACCGTCTTGTTTTGCACAAGATTTGCCAAATATTAACTTTAATATTAGTGATTTATGTTGCATACACCTATAAAGTGCAAGAATTATAAGTCTGTCTGTAGTTATTCACCAAACTAGTGAAATATATTAGTCGTTATTTGAGGAAGCTTATTATTATCAAACGCTCATTTAGTCTTTTTTGGGACAGTCTTTACTGAATTGTCGATTTTTATTGATGTAAATGCTATGTACACATATGTTTCAAGAAAAAAGTAATATCGCGAAAATCCTCATGATATTTTGTGCATGTCTTGTAATTAACCACTTTGAGTAGTTTTTAAAAAAATGAATATTACCTACTTAGACCCTCTGTAGTTTAGTTAGCGCGACATTAAAAGCATGTGCTTTCAATGGTTGTCTGGTCTTGTCAAATATTTTTTTGATGAAATTAGATTAAAATAACAGCAGTTTTTGTTTGTGAGAACATATGTTACATATGTGGAGCAATGTCTTGCCTCGTAATGGGATTACGATATTAAAAAGGTACGAATAGACTGAGACCGCACATTAATTCATGGTAACTGTTTTCTTGGTTTGAGTTGTCCTGACCGTTGTTGCTACCTTGACGTGGTGGTCGGGCTTGCCTATCGTGATGAAGCAACCGAGCTATACTGGTTGGAACAACCGTTCCTCAAGGTCCTACCATGTCAGACAGGTCGGTTGAAGAGCGGTAAGACTAAAAGCAACAAACCTAAGGTCCGAAGGCGAAGTCGTACTGCTGACTGTACAGAGGTGTGACAGCAGTAAGGTGTTTCCTTCAGACAACCAGCATGACAGCGATGCTGCCTTCCCACAAGGAGGGGTGGGGTTAGAAAAGGTCGACCCTAAAAATGCACACCTCACCTTACCTCACGGATTTCCGTCTCCGGCGGTAAGGCTCTTTGAAGAACGGAGCTAACACGTCAAAAACCTTCCACAAAAAGGCCGTGCGCGACCGGCCTCAAGCAGTTGTCCCTTGGGCACTGCGGTCACGCTCTCAGGTCGCTGAGACCGCCTCTAATCCAATTTCCTTTTCAGGTACCTCCAGAAGAACCCTTCTATGGTGTGGGCAACCGGGAAGTGATAACCGCCCTCATACCTCTAACAGCACCCAAGACCACTGTATTCATAATCAACCTTCCTCTTCAATTCCTATTATTCCTCCTACATCGACTTTCAACCCTAAACTTCCTCCTTCGGCTTCCTGCTCAAGTGTCACCATAGCCAACGATTCTAGTGCTCAAAACTCTGTCCCAGGTCTACTGAAACCTCGCTCCAAACTACACATTGGAGCTTTCAACGTACGCACCCTATGTCAAATCGGTCAACAGGCTTCCTTGGCTAAAACCCTAGAGTCTCTTTCCATCGATGTATGCTGTGTCTCCGAAACACGCATACAGGATTCCAGTGTGATCATTCACTTGACCTCACCTCGGGAAAACGGAGAGCCAACGAGATACACCCTACGTGTATCTGGTGACCCGATGGCCAGTTCTCGTGGACTGGCAGGTGTAGGCATAGCACTAAGCATGAGGGCGGAACAAGCACTGCTAGAGTGGATCCCCATCAACAGTCGTCTATGTGCTGTTCGGCTAAACGGCTCCGTAAGAACTCGGAAGGATAGGGACACACGTCGTTGCCTTTTTGTCGTTTCTGCCTACGCTCCCACTGACTGCAGCTCCGATGAAGTGAAGGATGAATTTTACAGAAAGCTATCTGAACTTCTTCAGAAAGCTAAACGCTCAGACATAGTACTCGTAGGGGGTGATTTTAATGCTCAGATAGATAACTTAAACCAAACAGAAAGGCATTTAGGTGGATATTTTAGCATTCCGGCACAGCGAACAGATAATGGTGATCGTCTGCTGCAACTGTGCTCAGACAATCGCTTATTTTTAGCAAACACAAATTTTAAGCATAAGGAGAGACATCGTCTAACATGGCGACCCCCTACACCAAACCAACGATGGACTCAAATAGACCATATTGCCATCAGTCATCGTTGGAGAGGGTCGGTACAAGATTGTCGCTCATTCTGGAGTACCTGCTTGGACTCCGACCACGCCCTAATACGGGCACGCATCTGCTTGCGCCTCACCGGACGCAAAAAAGCCACATTAAAAAGACCAATTAGAACTGAATTGAGTAACGAGAAAACCAAAAATAGGTTCCAAGAAGAACTGAGTTCACACTTAGGTAGTTCTGAAGACGAGGCTGACCCAGATGTTGCTTGGAAAGACATACAAGCAGCTGTGGAAGCAGCAGTGACATCTATTAGCAACTTAAACCACAGAGTTTCAAAGGACCAGTGGATTTCTTCAAAGTCTATCACACTGATGGATTCTCGCAAACTTGTCCCATCAGGTTCCGAACATGATGAAGAGCGACAACAAATCAAATCTAGGTTAAGAAAAAGTCTAAGAAACGACCGTGAGCAGTGGTGGGCAACGAAAGCAAAAGAGATGGAAAAGGCGGCGACTATAGGGAATACAAGACAGCTTTACAGACTAATAAAAGAAACTGGAATTAATAAGTCAAGTGTAAGTGAGATTATATCGGAAAAAGACGATGCACTCATCTGCTCCCAGTCCAGGCGTTTAGAACGATGGGCTGAACATTTCAGAGAACAGTTCAGCTGGCCTTCAGCTACTCTACAACTACCCTCCATTCCCAGACAGCGTGAATGGAACATTGAGGTAGGTCCCCCAACTCTTGCTGAAGTTCAAAAGGCTATAAATAATCTGAAACGAGGAAGGGCTGCTGGTCCAGATGGACTGACTCCAGAAGTCTTTAAGGATGGTGGTCCAATTTTAGCGGTTAGGTTGACTAATATTTTAGCTAAGATCTGGGAGTTAGACGTAATTCCATCTGACTGGTCACAATCACTTATCGTCCCAATATATAAGAAAGGGTCAAAATCATCCTGTGACAACCACAGAGGGATTAGTTTAACTAATATAATATCTAAAATACTAGCCTCAATAATAATCAGACGCCTAACTAAGACTCGTGAACTGCAAACACGAGAAAATCAAGCTGGCTTCAGACCTGGTCGTGGCTGCATCGACCACATATTCACCATTCGTCAGGTTCTAGAACACAGGCATACTTATCGGCGTCCGACGATGGTGGTCTTTCTTGACTTAAAAGCAGCATTTGACTCTGTAGACCGCGAGATTCTGTGGCAGTGTCTGTCATTGAAAGGCGTACCCCAGAAGTACATAAACCTTGTAAAGGCTCTTTACTCGAACACTACTAGTCGAGTGAGAGCTTATGGCGAACTGTCATCTAGTTTTGCAACCTCAAGTGGTGTCCGTCAAGGATGTCCACTTTCCCCATTTTTGTTTAACTTCATCATAGATCTACTGATGGAAATAACTTTCTCGTCGACTGAGTTCTCGGGTATTGATCTCCTTCCAGGAGGTCCACTTATCGACTTAGAATACGCAGATGACATAGTCCTGTTTGGTGAAGACGCTGACAAAATGCAGAATCTTCTGGTAGCACTGAGCAACAATGCCAGGATGTTTGGAATGCGCTTCTCTCCCTCTAAATGCAAGTTGTTGCTTCAGGACTGGTCTGCGTTAACACCTGAACTAAGGATAGGGAGTGAAGTGGTCGAACGCGTTGACAACTTCACTTATCTTGGAAGTCTGATCAGCCCTAATGGGTTGGTATCGGACGAAATCTCAGCACGGATTCGAAAAGCTCGTTTGGCTTTTGCCAGCTTACGTCACCTATGGCGAAGGCGAGATATCCGTCTATCAATAAAAGGACGAGTATACTGCGCGGCAGTCCGTTCTGTTTTAATTTACGGCAGCGAAACATGGCCATTAAGAGTAGAAGATACTCGTAAGCTATTAGTATTTGACCACAGATGCCTAAGAAATATTGCTGGCGTCTGCTGGGATAACCGGGTAAGTAATAGTGAGGTTAGACGCAGGGTATTAGGAAAGGATGGTAAATCAGTTGATGAGGTTATGAATCTTCATCGACTGAGATGGTTGGGCCACGTGTTACGTATGCCTGAACACCGATTACCACGACGTGCAATGCTATCCGGTATTGGAAATGGTTGGAAGAAAGTTAGGGGCGGCCAAACCAAAACGTGGCATCAGTGCTTGAAGTCACTAACTTCTAGTCTGAGCCATGTTGGTAGATGCAGACTACTTGGTTGGGGTCCGCGTGACTATCGTAACCAATGGTTGGAGACTCTTGGTGACATGGCTCAGAATCGATCACAATGGCGTCGGTGTATACACTCCCTGTCTTCCCTTAAACTATGAGATTAAAATCGCTTCATATCTTTCTTTCTACGAACCAATTCTTTCTACTTGTACTATATCTCTATATGCAATCTTTCTCTTATATATTACCACCTTTCACCTAACCACTGTTATGAATCTGGTGTTCACCTTGTTGTGTTGATGCGGTATGGCAACCTGGACCGATGCACATATGTGCCTGGTCCTACGTTGTAGCTGACTGACTGACTGACTGGTTTGAGTTGTGTGTAGAGTTCCAGGCTAAGTTGGGTCTTATATTTGTTGATGATCAGTGGTTGATGAATTGTGATAGTATGGTTTAAAATAGATAACACTAACTAAACGCGTTTACAAATTTTGGATGTTTTTTTTTAACAACTC